TTTTTTTTTTTTTTTGCAGGCTGAGGGAACTTGACAGGAATGTTGAAAGTGTAAAATATTTAGAGAATCTAGTAGGTCACTGAAATGTTAGTTAATGTTTCAAACAAATGGACCACAAGGTCTGCTAGTCCTGCTTCAGGGTAGCAAGCACATGAGTGGTGTTTTAAAGTAGGCGCTCGGTTTCACAGACATTTGATGTTGGGTAATTCTTTATTGTTTCACACCATCTCCACTTCTTTTTTTTTTTTAAGATTTATTTCATTTATATAAGAGGGTACAGGTCAGATGTGCGGGAGGATGAGAGGATTCACCAGAGATGGTGGGGAACAGAACAGGCAGACTGACTGAAATACACTGCTGAGGGGAGCAGCAGGTGAGACAGGAGAGGTCTGCTGCGCCATGTGTGTAGCTCCCTGGCAGGACAGGGATTGAATTCATGTTGCAGAGGCTGCAGATAACTTCGTAGGTAGCTTCTTAACCCCTTGCACCACCAGGGAGGCCCTCCTTTTATCTTTATTAATTGTGTTTTTTTTCTGTAACCAACTCCTTCATTCATTCATTGATTCATTTATTATGACCCAGGGATCCAGGGTACTCAGAGAAGTGTGGCAGTGCCATCCTTATGTCCTGTTTCTTCTTTTGTAAAGGCTTTCCTATACAGAAGGACGTACTCCCCCTAACCATGATCCTGTGAGCACACATGGGGTACGCCACATTCACCATTCTCTAGCTAATGTCAGATACCTCAGTGCATCCGTAGTTTCTACCATGTGTAGAATGCATCCGTAGTTTCTAGTATATGTGCTGCCAAAGCGAGCACAGCATCCGTAGTTTCTACGGATCAATGCATCCGTAGTTTCTACATGTGCATCACATGTACATCAATGCATCCGTAGTTTCTACCATGTGTACATTTTGATCCAGAATTCAAGGACTGTGTTGTGTTCGTTTCTCAGAAATTGCTTAAATCTCTACTTTAACCTAGAAGAGCTCTTTATTTATTTTTTTTAAAGATTTATTTATTTATGTATGCAAGAGCTGGGCGCAAGCCAGAGGTGTGGGGGGGGGGGGTGAGAGGATTCACCAGAGACAGAGTAGAAAACAGAACCAGCAGATTGACTGAAATATACTGCTGAGAGGAGCAGCGGGCGAGTCAGGAGAGGTCTGCTGTGCCAAGTGGGTCACCTCCCTGGCCAGGGATCGAACTCATGCCGCAGTGGCTGTAGACATTCATAGGTTGCGTCTCAACCCCTTGTGCCACAGGGAGGCCCCCCTCTTTTTTTTTTTTTTTTTTTTTGATGTCAACATTTTTGAAGAGTTCTGACTATTGTCGTGCTGAATTTACCTCCATTTGGATTATTTCCTTCTGAGAAGGTTTAGGTTAAACATTGTTGACAGGAATATCACATCTGTTCATTGCATTCTTTCCGGTATGTCCAGTACATACAGTAGCTCTGTCCCATCGCTTGGCTAAGGTGATGTCTCCTGAGATTCTGTCATTGTAAAATTACCTTTTCCTTTTTGTAATTAATATAATCTATGCAGAGACACTTGATTATGTTCACAATCCTGCTTCATGCAATGGTTATAGCATTCATTGATGTCTCTTACAAGAGGCAGTTATTCATGTGATGGTTTTAAAATGGCGATGTTCTATCATTCATTCTGTGTTTATTAATTGGTGCCTATAATCAAAGGTGGATAGGTAGACCGAGGCTCAGAAGCTTCTGTGTGTATTTTGCAGTGGTAAAGCTTTAGAGGTGTTCTCACATTTAGACTTTGGCTGGTGAGTCACTGGAGAGTTCAAGAGGATGGTGTTTGTGGGCATCGCACCTGCCACAGTTGAGTGATAGATCCTTGTTTCTTCAAGATGTATGTTTCTTGGAGTTTTCTTGTTTGTATCCAGTAAATGGAAATTTTCCATGAGAAAACTGTGAGTACTGCCATTCTTTGTAGGAATTCTTTCTGTTTTGTTTTGATTTATGAACCAGGCTTGGTTAGGCTTGCTAATCAACATCTTAATTTGGAATGGACAGGGAATATTAAAGGAAAAATGCAAATTTAGTCAGATCATATTCTAGTTTAGACTAGAAACTAGAGTAGATTTAATGTAAATATGTAAAATATCTTTATTATTTTTACTTAAGTTATAATTTTAAAACTAAAGATCAGAGGATGTATAACTTGTGATGTATGAAGCCTTCTAAATGTTAGAATTATATCGCATCCCTTAGTGCCTCTTCTCTGTTCAGGCCAAAATGCTTTGATTATACCTTGTTTATTTAAATTGTTCAGCTTGCCCAGACTTGATGAAAGGAATTAAGTGGTGTCAAAACAGGGCATTGAAGACACACCTGGTTCTTCACTATTACAGGTCTTAAGAAAATGCTTAAGGACTTCAGTTGTCTTTTAAAATTTAGCAGTGTTGAGGTTTTAGCATTTTGGTAAGGGAGAGAGGATGGAATGATTTTTTTCCATGCTAAAGTGTTTTGCATTTCTGGTTTAGTAAAGGGTGGAGTGAGTTAGAGGAGAAACATTCATAGAAGTAGCTGTTGGAAATACTAGTCTATGACTGTCATTTTTTTAAAAAAGATTTATTTATTTATGCACACAAGAACTGGGGTACAGGCCAGAGGTGTGGAGGGTGGGAGGATCCACCAGAGACAGAGTGGGGAACAGAACAGGCAGATTGACTGAAATACACTGCTGAGGGGAGCAGCGGGTGAGTCAGGAGAGGTCTACTGCGCCATGTGGGTTGCTCCCTGGCTGGGGATCGAACTCATGCTGCAGTGGCTATGGATAGCTTCATAGGTTGTATCTTAACCCCTTGCACCACCAGGGAGGCCCCATGGCTGTCATTTTTTTACCAAGTTACCTTTTTCTGTATAATAACATTTTTTATAACATATTTCTTAGTCATTTTATTTAGAATGTTCTTCAAATTTATACCAACATAGCAAAATGCTAATAATATTCTAGCACTGTATTCATAAAACGAGGGTTTTAAAATATGTGAACAGGGATTTTTAGAACATAAAGGAAATCAGGAATATCTCTAGTAGAAATGCTGTGAGCTAGAAGGTCAAGGCCAGAAGTAGATCATGTTTATTTGTCCCTCTTTGAACTGGGGGAAAGCAGATGATTTATTTTTGAATATCCAGCTTGTTTTTTTTTTTTAAATAAGGTTTCTTTTTTTGTGGCATCGTTTTAGTTCTGTAACTTTTTTTTTTTAAGACTTTATTTATTTATACAAGCACTGGGCACAGTCACAAGCGCGAGAGGGTGAGAGAACTCACCAGAGCCAGAGCGGGGAGCAGAGCAGGCAGAAGGACCGAAGTACACTGCTGAGGGGAGCAGCGGGCGGCCATGTGGGACCCTCCTGCTGTGGCCGGGGAGCAGCCGGGATTGAACCGGCGGTGCAGAGGCTGCGGGCAGCCTCGCAACCCAGCGCTCAACCGCTGCGCCACAGGGGAGGCCCCAGCTTGTTTTTTTTTTAAACTTAAAGACTATAAGGAAATGAGTAGAAAGAATTGTCAGAGACTCACAATGTACCTCTACTCCTGTCTCTAAGAGGTTATGAAATCTGCTTACAGGGTAATAGACAGGAAGGGTCTTGGAAATAGTACATAAATTCCAGGTTGGTAAGCATGATCAATAAATATAAAACCTTCTGAAGTGTCAGGATGCAGTGGTAAGCCATTAAGCCATAGATGTTTTGGAGTATTAACCCCAAATCAGGAAAAGCTGTGTTTCTCTTTGTGGCCATCAGATTTGTCTTCTCAAATAGGACTTTGCATTTACAGTTGTTGCTTTTTTCCACCTACAGTAAGTTCACAGTAAAGATTTATAATATGAATAATTTAGAACCACTTCTGCCTTATTTCATACTTTTCTTTCCAAGATTGTTGAGTCATGAAGTAAAATCCTCATTAGGAAACTGTCAAAAGTAGAAACAGTTTCAGAAAGTTAAAAAGTTCAGAGGGTTTAGTTTCTCAATGGAAGGCAGTAATTTGATTCCATTTTTATAGTTATTTCCTTCCATCAAGTGCATCTGTCTCCTAGTGGTATTAAATCTTGTCTGTTCATCTACTTAACAGCCTCCTTTGATGACTGGTACAACGTTTTATTAATGGCAAACCCAGTAAGTTAAAAGACTTGCCAAATCTTAAGGAAACCAGTGAGCTATATAGTAAGATTTATACACAACCTAGCTTCCAGAATTAGCTCCAAAAAAGAAGTAAAGTGTGTATATGTATGTATGTATGTAGAATTTAGATTCTGGAAACTAGGGACCAGTATTAACATCAATTTCTGTTTAACCTATGCACAGCTCTCCAAGTCTCTGTTTCTTTGTCTTCATGTGTAAAAAATAATAGTACCTAATTTACAGGTTTGTCGTAATAAATGGAAATACATAGTAGTACTTAGCATTGTGCCCAGAATATAATGACTACTCAATTTGAAAGAAAAAAATCTCAGCATGCCAGGGGTCACTGTTCTACACCTCTTTGTTATTCTTTGGCCATTTCAGTCTCCTCAGGAATATATGTGGCATTAAGGATGGCAAGTCCTGGCCGCCCTGGTGGTGCAAGGGGTTAAGCACTGCACTATGAAGCAATCCGCAGCCTCTACAGCACAAGTGTGATCCCTGGCGGGCCAGGGAGAAACCCACATGGCGCAACATACCTCTCCTGTCTCGCCCGCTGCTCCCCTTAGCAATGTACTTCGGTCAATCTGCCTGTTCTGCTCCCCACTCTGTCTTTGGTGAGCCCTCTCACCCCCCACATCTCTGGCCTGTACCCCAGCTCTTGTATGCATAAATAAATAAATCTTAAAAAAAAAAAAAAAAGGATGGCAAGTCCTACAGAAACTGATGCTTTCCCTAAGGTGGAATTAATTGGTTCAGATAACTCTACGGAGTAGCTAGGTAGAAAAGATGAAGTTGACATGGTTTAAAAGAATTTTCTCTTGATGCACTTTCTTTTCATTTTATCATACAGTGCCTTTGAAGATGAGACTATGAAGCTTCGCCAGTTGAAACTAGATAACCAGGTGAGCTCTTTTGAAGGAAGTGATCGTGATGCTGATGAACTGCAGTATTAGCAGGGCCGTGGAGATACTGGACAGAAAAAGGTTCTGATCTTACTAAATAATGTCTGGAGTTAGTATTTGCTGAACCAGGGCCTGGACTCTGACAAGACCAAAGTGTTTTTGGGACATCAGCAAGAAAACTGACTTTGGAGTTGGAATCACTGAAAATTCCTTAGTCCTTTCATAAGAATTAGAAGAATGTTAGTGTTGTATTTCTATGTAGTAATTTGGTTCTGCTGCCTTAAATACTTCTCTACACTGTAATTTCATCTAACTACATGATATTTTTTTAATCCTAAAATGCAGATCTGAACATGCTGCGGTGCTGCTTAAAAGCCTCCACTGCCTACGGAATAATTTTCTTCACAGCACTGGTCCCAATTTCAGTTACACATTAAATTCTTTTTTTTTTTTTTCTTTTTCTTTTTTTCTTTTGCAATGATTTGGCTTATATTCGTTTCCTCCACTAGACTCAGCTCCATGAGAACAGAACCAGGTCTGTTCTCGGTGACCATCACATCAGGCGCTCCCAGTAGAGAGCTGGGCTCACAATAGTCCTTCATAAAATACTTGACTAGAGGAAGGAATAAATGAAGAGTTTAAGTTGTTTCATGCTATGATCCTCATAATTAGCCAGCTCAGAGCCTACATCCAACCTGTATTGCTTTCTGGCCTGTTTTTTTCCCTGTGTTTTCTAATTCAGGGTCGTCCATAGCCTAGTCTTGCCCACGTAGGGTCCTCAGTAATCAGTGCCAGAGGTGACTAAAATGACCGCAGATTTTTATCCTGCTTCTTTATGTTGTCGTTGGAATTAATAAAGTGACTTCTAGCCCAATAAATTGCTTCAGAGGGGAGTCACTGAAAACTAGGAGGAACATCTTCACAGAGTGTGTGTGCGCCAGGAGGGGGTGTCTTGGAGTGGGCCTCGCGCCCCAGGAGACCGCCAGCGCCCTCCTTTCTCGGGTGCTGTTGCCCTGATCATGTCCAAGGCTACCTCCCCTGGTGCCCCCCGGGGACAGGGCAGCCCAACCTCGAGGGCCTGCAGAGCCGCTGCCGACCTGCCGCTACCCGGCAACAGCCTCACGGCCCGTGGGGAGTGCAGCAGAGAGCGGGTGGCGAGGCTGGCACCCCTGCTCTGAACCCCTGCTCCCAAGATCCCCTGTGCAGATTTTGAGGCCACATGCGAGCCTCCCCTCTATGCCCGGCGGAACAGAACGGGCTTCTCAGCCTGGCACCTGCATCCCTGTAGGTGCCCAGCTCGAAATAGGCCACTCTGAAAAATCTGCTTCCAGCTTTGGGGATCACAGGGTGTGAGCGCCACCGTGGAGTCCTGGCCCAGCCGAGCCTGACTAGAGCCGGGTTTTTACGTGGATTGGCTGCCTTGAAATCTCTGCTGAGGTTGATGTGCCCGCTGGCACAATTTTTAATATAAATATATTTTCTGGAAGTAAAAGAAAATGGTCCAAATATTTTTTAATTTTTATTTTCTGAGAATGCTTCATGCGGTACATATGTGGTATAAGTGCTGGGGACTGTTATAAGCCCTTTTATAGCTCAATTTAAAAAATATGATTTTCGTATCGGTAATGAACGTATACATAAGAATTAAAATAACACAAAAAAGATATTTGAGGAAAGTCTCTCTTCCTCTTCTTGGTTCTGGGCTTTTTTCCAGAGGCTGTGACTGATTTCTAATGTATCCTTTCAGAGAGAGAATGGATACAAAGACAATGGATTTTTTACATTTGTCTTATGGTCGGGGGCATGTTGGTTTACAACTTTGAATTTGATTTGGAGGTATAGGATCACACCCTTAAGGTGTAAAGTCTTTTTTTTTTTTTTGCTCTGTGACATTTTTTTTTTTGACTTTTATATTCCCCATACAATTGCAACCCCAATTTTGACCCCAATCTTTCCTTTCCCCTCCCCCCCAAAGAGTGTCTCTGGTTCATAGTTGTTTGTTGATTTTGATTTTTTCCTTTCTTGTAGTTATTCTTTTTCCTGGTCCATATTTAGGTTTTCTAGATTCCTGTTATGAGTGAGATCATCCGGTATTTTTCTTTTTCTTTCTGACTTATTTCGCTGAGCATGATCCCTTCTAGCTCCATCCATGTTGCTGCAAATTGCATGTGTTTATCTTTTTTGAATGCTGAGTAATATTCCATGGTGTATATGTACCACATCTTCTTGATCCAGCCATCTATTTTGGGGCATTTGGGCTGTTTCCAAAGCTTAGCTATTGTAAACAGTGCTGCTATAAACATAGGGGTGCAGGTGCTCTTTGGAATTACTGTTTCTGTGTCCTTTGGGTAAATACCTAGGAGTGGAATTGCTGGATCATATGGAAGCTCTATCTTTAGTAGGTCAAGAAATCTCCACACAGCTCTCCATAGTGGTTGGACCAGTTTGCACTCCCACCAACAGTGCAGGAGAGTTCCTTTTTCTCCACAACCTCGCCAACATTTGTTGTTGCTAGTTTTTTTTAATATGTGCCATTCTCACTGGTGTAAGATGGTATCTCATGGTAGTTTTGATTTGCATTTCCCTGATGACAAGTGATGTTGAACATTTTTTCATATGCCTGTTGGCCATTTGCATTTCCTCTTCAGAGAAGTTTCTTTTTAGCTCTTCTGCCCATTTTTTGACTGGATTATTTTCTTTGTTTTTGTTGAGTCTCATCAGCTTTTTGTAGATTTTTGTGACCAGTCCTTTATCATTAGTGTTGGGTGCAAAAATGTTCTCCCAGTTGGTGGGGTTTCTCTTTATTTTGGTTATTGTCTCTCTTGCTGTGCAGAAGCTCTTTAATTTGATGTAGTCCAGCTGTTGACCTTTGCCTTCACTATCACTGCTTTGGGTGATGCATCTGTAAAGATGTCTTGTAAAGACATTTTATTCTTTCTTTCTTTCTTTTTTAAAGATTTATTTATTTATTTATACAAGCACTGGTTACAGTCAGAAGTGCGGGAGGGTGAGAGAATTCACCAGAGCCAGAGCGGAGAGCAGAGCAGGCAGACTGACCAAGTACACTGCTGAGGGGAGCAGTGGGCGTGGTAGGAGAGGTCTGCGCGCCATGTGGGACTCTTGCCCAGTGGCCGGGGATGAACCAGTGCTGTAGAGGCTGCGGGCAGCTTCGCAGCCCAGCGCTCAACCGCTGCGCCACCAGGGGAGGCCCTGTAAAGACATTTTATAGGAAATTTTTTAGATTCAAAAAAGATCTCTTTGGACCTGATGCATACATTTCACTGTTAAGTAGTGTGGGATACTGTTAGAGCCCTGAATGCCACCTGCACGAGAAAGAAGTGACTCGGCAGGGACTGTGGAACTTTGTGCCCATGCCAGTGGAGCCTTCGAATGGCCCAGAGCAAGAAAGCAGCGCTGCCAAGTGATAAATAAGACATCGGGCTAGTTCTAGCTCTGCCATTCATTAGCTGTGCGATTAGGTTAGACCCTTGACTCTGTGGGCCCCAGTTATTTTATTTATAAGGAGATCTGGACAAAATAATAGAATGTTAGACAGCATCGTAGAGTATGGGACCTACGAGTTGGAGGCATGTTGAGGAAGGTGAGGTGCTGTATCACCTGGTGGTGTCTTGGTGTGCGCTTCACAGCTTAGCACGTGGAGGCCCACCCAGGGGCTCCCGTGCACTCCGCCAGAGGCAGTGGCAGTGACTTGCCATGACAGTGATTGTTAATAGAAGTGGGAGACTCTGGGGAGCCTCTCTCCCACCCCTGCCTCAGGTGTATGGTAGATTAAGTCCTCAGACATCCTGCAGTGAGAGTGTCCCCATGGTCCAGTCTCTGGTTGTGATCTTTACAGGATCAGCCATTGTTTGCTAAGAGCAACCAAAGTGAAGCAGTCTCATGAGGATTGGTTCATACTAACAAATACCTTAAGTGATGAAGCCAAATCAGTAATTTGTAGGGAACTCTGTGCCTGAGTCGGCTGTTCATCACATTCCTTTTAGTCTGTATAAATTAGCAAGTGACTTAGTGAGTTTGAAATCAGAGTAAGTAGAGTTTGTGAAATGATCTTTGTGATAGAAATCATTAATGTATGATGGTATAATTAATTCACTTCTACTAAAGGGTTCTCCCTGCCAAAGGAATGAGATATGTTGGTGTCTGGCCAGGACACTGGCCTCCTTGGCCACTCCTGCAAGGTAAATCTTGCACTCTGGTTCCGTGTTGCCTTATCTCCATAGAGATCATTTCTCTTCTTTGTCCACATCCAGTTTATAGTATTACTAATTAGTTTCTTTCATAACTATAATTTTTTCATGACAGTATATTCTTAGAATTTAATGTTTAAAAATCCTAGGTTCACAGATAATTTACACATGGCTGTTTTTGTCCCATATAGATTTTTGAATGGCTTTATTGAGCTAAATCACATGCCATAAGTATATACCTAGTTGAAGGATAGTGACTTTAGATTGCAGGTAAGTGGAATTATGCATATAAATTGTGTCTGGACATTTTGACTTAAGGTCCTTCCATATTGTTGCATATATCAGTACTTAATCCCATTTTATTGTCAAACAGCCTTCCATTTTGTGGGTCGACCTCATTTTGTTTATCCATTCATCTGTTGATGAGCATTTGGATTGTTTCCAGCATTACAAATAATGCTGCTGGGATATTTATATATAAGTTTTTGTGTCACCATGTTTTCATATCATCAGGTAATAGACCTAAGTTCATGTACACCAAGGTGTACCTAACGTGCCCTGGGCAATAGGAGTGGCACTGCTGGTCAGATGGTAACTCTGCGTTTAGCATTTCAGAGCAGCCGGACTGTTTTCCAAAGTGACTGAACCATTGTGCATTCCTGACAGTGGTGTGCAAGGTTTCCGTTTCTCGTACATTAATGATTTCCTTGCCAATGCGTATTATTTATGCCTCACTTTGATTGCAGCCCTTTTAGTGTCTGTGAAGTGGCATCTCATTACAGTCCTGATTTGCATTTCCCTATGACTCAGGGTGTTGAGCAGTTGGACTCAGTGGCCATTTGTATGTCTTCTCTGGCAACATATTTATCTAAATTCTTTCCTCTTTTTAAATTGTCTTTGTTGCTGAATGTAAAAGAGTTCTTTATATATTCTATATCAAAGTTCCAATTCAGAAATATTAGTTGTAAAAATTCGGTGATTTGTTTTTTTTACTTTTTTGATGTGACATTTTCAGCACAAAAGTTTTATTTCTTCTTTTGCTTCTTTTATATTTGGTGTCATATCTGAGAAACCATTACTTAAACCAAGCTTACAAAGGCTTGCTCCTGTGTTTCCTTCTAAGAGCTATAGACGTTCTGTGATCTGTTTTTGTTTTTTTTAATGGTGTGGGATGGGAAAGATCCAACTTCATTCTTTTGCGCGTGGATATCTGCTTGTCCCAGCACCATTTGTTAAAAATGTCCCATTGAGTATATTTTGCTTTTCTTGTTACTGGTCTCACTCTGGTCCTCATATTTTCAAGGTATGTGGACCCCTTGGCTGACAACAGAACATAAAGATTTTCAGACCCACGAGTGACAGGACTGAATTGCTGCATGTTGGGTAGAGAACATCTTCGCCACCTGGTGGCCAATCTCTTGTAGTACAGCCGCGACCCTTTGTGTCAGGTTGCCCATCTCTCTGCACAGAACATTCTAAGAGAGGTCATCCGTGCACTAAATTGCTATTTTTAAAAGTCTGATTTAAAACTTTTAGCCTTGTCTCCCTATGAGCTCACTTTGTGGGCGGGGAAGGTTAGCTATTTTTAGCCAAACAAATAACCCCCAGGTAACTGTTTTGCTCTTGCTAATGGTCCCTGGGTCAGGGAGCCTCTTTCAGGAGTCTCCTGATGTAATGAATCATCATCATGTAATAAATAAAGTCAGTCCTCTCTAGGGGGTTTGGAAAATTGAGAAATCAGTGAAGTCATTTAAACTTCAAATGGCTAGTATTCATTTGAAGCTTGACTGATCTTTTATTATTTTACTGGTTAAAGCCTTTATTTTTTAAAGATTTATTTGTTTATGCATATGAGAACGGGGGTACAGGCCAGAGGTGTGGGAGGGTGAGAAGATTCACCAGACACAGAGTGGGGAACAGAACAGGCAGGCTGACTGAATACACTGCTTGAGGGGAGCAGCAGGAGAGACAGGAGAGGTCTGCTGTGGCATGTGGGTTGCTCCCTGGCTGGGGATTGAACTTGTGCTGCAGTGGCTACAGACAGCTTCACAGGTTGTGTCTTAACCCCCTGGTTAAAGCCTTTTCATGGAAAATTGTTCCCCACCCCATCTAATTTCTATTTCCTCATTGATTTTGGCATCATCATTCAACATTTTGATCCCCAGAAATGATAGTTGTACTTACCATCAGATTCTGGAGAAGATGGTTTCTTTGAGTTAGTGTTCAACTTTGAAAGAAATCGGAGAAATTAAAGGCTTATTTAACATGAAATTTAAAGTCCTGAAGGTGCCATATTTTCATTACCTTTAGGGCATTGGTCACCTTTGGTCCTTCCTGACTCCCTTGACCTTTCCCTAACTCGGTGAGGAGTTCTTTGTTCATGTACCTTCATTTCAAGCCCTCAGCTTTTCAGGGAAGTTAAGACATAAATGAAATATGAGTTGACACTGTTACATTGAAACTCAGTCAATATCTCCTTCCCTCCCCATCCAACCATGTGAGGGTGGTTACAATGCTGAATCAGGTGACAGTTTTTACCAAGTTGATAATTTTCCCATATGCAGATATTTTATAGTATTTTCTTGTTCACAAACTTGGACCGTGGCAGATCTGTTCAACATTGTCTTGTCGTAACTGTGACCCTGAAGTTCACCCTTTGAATCTACAGCTGTTTTTAAAGTTGTTGATCTAAATGAGTTTGACAGGTGTTGAAGTTGACAGAGGAAGGCTTCGCCATACACTCACTTTGATAGCAGCCCAGTGACCACGATTCTAGAATGCCCCTTACAGGGTTGAGAGCATGGCTCTGTTGGTGCGCTGAGACGTCACCAGCCCCTTTGGCAAAGAGTTCTAACAGCTGAGTATCATGAATCGCCAGGGGGAGCGCTCCTCTTCCAGTCTCTGTTCATCGCTCGCTGTTCCTGGGGCTACTATGCTTCCTTCCCCAGTCATTCCTCCCAGCCTGCTCGATGGCAGAGGCCATGGTGGCCCATTATCTCGGTTACCCCGCTCTTTCCTCTGTGTGCAGGACTGTGTAAAAAAGAACAGTTCTGTTTCTTCTGTGTCCCCGAATCAATCTGCATGCTCTCATCAGCTCAGTTCAGGAAAAACACACTTCCTGGCCTGCTGGTGCTCTCCCCCTTGGAGTAACGCTTCCTTTAGTGGCCCTTTTTGAAAACGCTATCCTGCGAAAAAGTAAGTGGAGAGCTTTTTGCCTAAGAAACCATAAAACAGCTTATAATATCTTTGCTTTTCATTTTTTAAAAAATTTATTTATTTATACAAGAACCAGGGTACAGGCCAGAGGTGTGGGGTGGGGGGTGAGAGGATTCACCAGAGATGGAGTGGGGAGCCTAGATCGACTGAAATACACTGCTGAGGGGAGCAGCGGGCAAGCCAGGAGAGGTCTGCTGCGCCATGTGGGGCAGCTCCCTGGCCGGGGATTGAACTCGTGCTGCAGTAGCTGTGGACAGCTTCATAGGTTACATCTTAACCCCTTGCACCACCAGGGAGGCCCATATCTTTGCTTTCCAATTACGACTTTATTCTTAGCTTGGGGCTTGACATTTTTATTCCGGGATACCCCATACCCACAATGAGTTCTATGAATTATAAATTCCTATTTGCTGAGCCTTAAAAAGTGTGTGTGCTGCCCAGCACCTCCTCAGGTTGAGAACACAAAACCCCTTGCCTCCTCTACATCCTGCACCTCCTCGCACCCTTTCCCTCAAATATAATGACGGCACCTTGCTTGCCACTCAGCGAGCCTGCTTTTAGGGTATCAACCCTACCGACTCCCTTGGTTGCTGCCTGCGTGATAAACTCTATAGTGCAAAGACAAAGAAAAATAGTAGATATACTAGTATCTTCCTTTTCATCTTGCTGATTTTTTTTTCTCATAGTCTCTTAGGTTTCTTTCTTTTTTTTTAATATTTTATTTTATATAATTTTTACATCATTTTTCATCTTTGTACAATGTATGCATTTTCATTTTGGTTATATTCCTCATACAATTGCACCCCCCCCCTCATTTTGACTCTAGTTCTTCCTCTCCCCGTCCCTCCCTAATCCCCCCCACCCCATAGTGTGTCTCTGGTTTATAGTTACTTGTTGATTTTGATTATTACTTTCCATTGATTAGTCTTTTTCCTGGTCTCTTATTTAGGTTTTCTAAATTCCTGCTATGAATGAGACCATCCTGTATTTTTCTTTTTCTTTCTGGCTTATTTCACTGAGCATGATCCCTTCCAGCGCCATCCATGTTGCTGCAAATTGCATGTGTTTATCTTTTTTGAATGCTGAGTAATATTCCATGGTGTATATGTACCACATCTTGATCCAGTCATCTATTTTGGGGCATTTGGGTTGTTTCCATAGCTTAGCTATTGTAAATAGTGCTGCTATAAACATAGGGGTACAGGTGCTCTTTGAAATTAATGTTTCTGTGTCCTTTGGGTAAATACCTAGGAGTGGAATTGCTGGATCATATGGAAGCTCTATCTTTAGTAGGTCAAGAAATCTCCACACAGCTCTCCATAGTGGTTGGACCAGTTTGCACTCCCACCAGCAGTGCAGAGAAGTTCCTTTTTCTCCACAACCTCACAAAACATTTGTTGTTGCTAGTTTTTTTAATATGTGCCATTCTCACTGGTGTAAGATGGTATCTCATGGTAGTTTTGATTTGCATTTCCCTGATGACAAGTGATGTTGAACATTTTTTCATATGCCTGTTGGCCATTTGCATTTCCTCTTTGGAGAAGTTTCTTTTTAGCTCTTCTGCCCATTTTTTGACTGGATTATTTTCTTTGTTTTTGTTGAGTCTCATGAGCTCTTTGTAGATTTTTGTGATCAGTCCTTTATCATTAGTGTTGGGTGCAAAAATGTTCTCCCAGGCGGTGGGGTTTCACTTTGTTTTTGTTATTGTCTCTTTTGCTGTGCAGAAATTATGCTTCTTTCTTGATTATTTTTGTCACCAGATTCTTTATCTTGCTTTTACCATAGAGTTGACTGTTTTCTACTTGGAATTTCCCAGCTGCTCTTGTTTTTCTTATCCTTTGCCCTGATTTGTTTGACATCTAATTATGTAAAATGAACAAGAAAGCAAAACATACTGCTTTTTAGTGAATTGAGATGTAAAAGTAATGTGGGGGTGAGAGAATAATATTTTTTTCACCTTCCAGTCACAAAAGTAAGATAATATAGAAAACTGGAAAAAGGGGAAAAAATTGTCCATATGCTACCCCCTGAGATCCATTGCTATGTTCTTTCATCTTTCCCCTCAGGCATATATGTTTGTATTTTAAACTTGTGATCATGGTACCATTAATAATACAGTAATAATATATCTTTTCTGTAGACTTGAGTCATGTTCTCACCTTGGCTAGTTGGGTTGTACCATTTCAAATAGATCTTGACAGATGTCTGGTAAATATTTGTTACTGAAGTGACCGGATCCCTGCTCCTCTCTGTGCGTCAGTTTCCTAGTTCTGAGGTGGGAAAAATTAATTTATGAGAGGTTTTGTGAGGATCCATGAAAACCTGAGTGTTTGCAATATCTTGGTCTTATCTCCTGGCTATAATGTCCCGATTGTCCCCTAGAGAGCGCTGCTGGAGAAGAAGCAGAGAAAAAAGCGCCTTGAGCCGCTCATGGTCCAGCCAAATCCAGAAGCCAGGTTACGTCGGTCAAAGCCAAGAGGCACAGAGGAGCAAACCCCTTTGGTGGAGCCTCATGCCCTGCGCAGTGATGTCATCCTCCACGGTGTGTATTTAGACAGCAGCATTGCCTGCTGGGGCACCCTTCTCACAAACTAAGAGAAGGCAGGAGCATTCTCAGATAGACCAAGGGATAGTAGGAATCTTCAGAAATCATTAACATCACATTTTGGGTTTTTGAGTTAGAATAAACCTGATCAATGGGACAGACCTTACCATTCGGGTCCATCCCAGAACTGCTGTTTCAGATGCCAGTGAGTTAGTCCAGATTGGCCTGTGAAGAGCATGTAGCCTTGTTACGTCATAGCAGAGTTAACCATGAAGCCAGGAGTAGGTGGAGCGTGTCCATTCTTCCAACAGATAGGACGCAAATGATCATCTCAGAGAGATGGTGAGGGTGCAAAGGGGCTTCTAAATGTGAATTAAGAACTCCTAAATCAGGAACTCCTAAATCTGAACTTGATTGGCTTGGATAGGATCTCAGCTTTGGAAAACTTTGTTTTCATGTTTTTTTCTTAAGTTTCTATAGTTCAACATCAAGTTCATTTTGCTTTAGTAAAATTTAATAAGATGAACACCAGCCCTGAATTACTCTATTAACAGATATCCTTGTGGACCTTAAGGAAGGAAGGTAAGTAAAGTGATTGCATAGCTCTTAATTCTTGTCCCATGCAGCTAAACCACCCAACCAACGTGGAGATACTACTTTCCTTCTTTTTCTTTCCTTCTGATTCCTAGGTATTGATGGTCCAGCTGCTTTCCTGAAGTCAGATAGTCAAGATTTGGAAACCAAAATTCATGTCCTTTCAGTCGGCTCTTCTGCCACAGAAGAGGATACTGAAGGGAGTGCTGATGGGGACAGTGTTCTGGATCCTGCTCCCAAGCCAGATCTTCAGGAGATTCTCCAAAAGCATGGTGAACATTAGTCATGGTTTTAAGACACTTACTCTTCCGAGTCATTTGTCATCTTTTCCTTTACTTCCATTTTTGGTTAACAATATAAATGACTCAAAATTGCTCGTGATGTGACATTAGGTTTTAAGAGATGACTGTGTCAGGCATCTTTGACCCCTGAGTATTGGTCATTGTCAGCAATACAAGTATTTATCCTATTGTCTGGGGAAAATAAGATAAATAACTATAAGATAGCAGCAGCATTAGTTATTATATATGACTCTTTTTTTTTTTTCAAAGATTTATTTATGCATACAAGAGCTGGGGTACAGGCCAGAAATGCGGGGGTGAGAGGACTCACCAGAGACAGAGTGGGAAACAGAACAGACAGGCAGACTGAAACACACTGCTGAGGGGAGCAGTAGGTGAGACAGGAGAGGTCTGCTGCGCCATGTGGGTTTCTCCCTGGCTGGCCGGGGATCGAACTCATGCTGCAGAGGCTGCGATTGCTTCATAGTGCACCACCAGGAAGGCCCTATATGACTCTTGATTTTTGTTCCTGCCCTTCTTCTTTGAGAAGGTTGTTACTCAACAACCCTCCTCTGCCTGTATTTCACAATTATATTGATCTAATGATAAGATAAATAACCAGATTAGTGGCAAACTGGATCAAAATATACTTAAGCTGGTACTTTTCCTACCAGGGCCTACTTTCTGCCAGTTGGAGTTACCATTTCCATAAATATTTCCATACATATTAGAAGTCCTTTGTAGTCTTCCATCTCCTTAGAAAAATAATTTTATAATGAGAAGGAAGGGATCATGTCCCTTTCAGATGAGACGACCAAAGTCCTATAATAGTGGGTGTCTGGCGCCTCCACTGGGATAGGCATTGCTGGGCCCGGACTGTGTGGATCAGGAGATGCACATGCAAACAAATATGCTTATCCATTTATTTAGATTCATTGAGCATATACTGCACAGCAGACATTGTACTAGGCACTTAGAATCCAAGAGCAAATGTGGCCCCTGTCCTCAAAGAGTGCTTATCCTCATTGAGTGTTTATGCACCTACACTTTGAGGAAAGCACCCAGAGAGGCGCCCAAACCAGAGTTGAAGGTTTGAGAAACTTCCCAGAGAGGAATTGCTGAATTATACGGTAATTCTATATTTGATTTTGAAAGAGCCACTGTACTCTCTTCCAGTGGCTATATATTTTACTTTGCCACCCGCAGTGCAAAAAGGCTCTGAGTTTTCTACATCCTCTACATCCTTGGTGTTTTCTGGTTTGATTTTTTTTCAATTATAGCCATCCCATTGCTTGTGAAGTTGTAGCCCATTGTGATTTTGATTTGCCTTTTCCCTAAAGATTAATGATGTTAAGTATCTTTTCATGTGCTTATTGACCAGGTATATGTCTTTGGAGAAATGTCTATTCAAGTCTTTACCCATTTTTTGAAATTTTTTTTTGTCATTGAGTTGTAAGAGTTCTTAATATATTCTGGAGATCAATCCTTAATCACATACATGATTTGCAAATATTTTTTCCCATGTATATAATGCTTCTAAGTGCTAAATTAGGGTGGCAACAGTGAAAGGACAATAAGGGAAGGCCCTGAGTAAGAATACAAAGAAGATTTGTCAGATTTTAGATACAAGAGCCATGTCTTGAGTTATAGTTTGGAATGTTTTAAGCAAAAAAATTAAAATTATCTTTGGTTCAAAGATTGCCTTTTTAAACCAGTGTTTACAGGTTTTGACCATTCTTGTCTGACAGGTATCTCAGGTAGTTTGAACTTTGATGAGGAAGAGACTGATGGAGAAGAAGAAGGAAAAAAGTTAAGAGCTCATTCTCCACATTCAGAAGCAGACAGACCCAATTCTGCATCCAGCCAGAAGTCAACCACAGTATGTAGTTCTGAAACTTCTTTAGCTAAAGCCAGTCAGTTAAATTACAGCTAATTTAGCTCTTTCCCAAACATATCTTCAATATTTAAATATCATCCCTGAATAAGATTCAAAAGCTTTCTGCTCTAGTTCAAACTAAAAGTTCCTCACCTCTCTGATATCTGCTGTCCCATGCCAGCTATTGCTCAGCTGTCTCCCACCCGCCTTTGAGCGCCTTTCTTACTCTCAGTTTGCATGTACTTATTTAGCTCTTCAGAGTACCCTCCCCCTATGAGAAGACTGGAGACAAAGGGATCACTCATTAAGTGACTTTGTCCTTTAAGTGTTTCTCAGAGAGATTTTGAGGTTTTCTGACAACTTCCTGTTGCCCTGTGACTATTCTCTCAGGATACAGGCGCTTCCAGTACTGCAGCCCCACAAGCTGATAACCAGCTGGGAGAAGTGGAGAATTTAGAGGACTTTGCCTATAGTCCTGCCCCTCGAGGCATCACCGTCAAGTGTCGGATAACCAGGGACAAAAAGGGAATGGATCGGGGCCTTTTCCCCACTTACTATATGCACTTGGAAAAGGATGAAAATCGGAAGGTAGGAAAATTGATACTCAAGGCAGACCTTGAGACAGAGGGAAGAGTTTTGTGGGGACAGAGAACAGCACTGGGATCAGAGCAGAGGAAGGTGGCTTTTAAGTCCCAGGTGCTTCACAGAGTTCACAGTCTAATAGGCAGAGTCTGTATCCCATCCTACCCCAAGAAAAAGACTTTTGCCCAGAATGTACGGAAATATTTAAAGGTAATTATTTTTAACTCGATCCTTTTTATTGGGGGAGGGGGGTATGGTGGCAAGGGTGTCACTTATGCTATTGTTTATTTGTGTTAAGATAGAACATGACATTGTAGAAGAAAGCGCACATTTTTGGGAATAGATGGAGTTAAAAATAAAGAACATGCAAGTGAAATGTCTTCACCCTAGAAATTCTCATTAACTCTACATATACATTTGAGACAGTTTAATACTTTTTTTCAGATTTATTTTATTTATTTATGCATACAAGAGCTGGGGTATAGGTAGAACAGGCAGATCTACTGAAATACACTGCTGAGGGGAGCAGTGGGTAAGACAGGAGAGGTCTGCTCTGCCAGGTGGGTCAGCTCCCTGGCCGGGGATTGAGCTCATGTTGCAGTGGTTGCCAATACCTTGATAGTGCTGAGACAACACCTTGCACAACCAGGGAGTCCCGACAATTTAATACTTTCAACAAAAAACCTATTTTGTATTAAATCCCGGTTCTGGTGGTTGATATTAAGAGCCTAGAAATGAGGTGAGGGTAGGAGATGTCATTGTTAACTATAACCACAACTTACTGAGTGTTTATGACAAAGTGTGTGCTAACTGCTTGATATATTATCACTTACACTTGTAACAACTGTGTGTGATAGGGTTTCTTCTTGCTGTATGGAGGAGGTAACTGGGGCTTAGGGAATGACATACTACTCCAAGTGACAGGGCCAGATTGGAACCCACCCCTGTTTAATTCCAAAGTTCTTCCCTTAGCTTCTGCCACCCCAGCTTCTCTATTACTGTCCAAGTCTAGTAGGTTTAGGCAGGGTGAATAAACACGACAGTGATCATATCATTGAAGTCACAGGGGGTTAGACCAGTAATGAAAGGCGCATTAAGAGACATTGCCAGAGGCCTCCCTGGTGGTGCAAAGAATTAAGACACAACCTATGAAGCTGCCCATAGCCTCTGCAGCATGAATTCAATCCCTGGCCAGCCAGGGAGCAACCCACGTGGCGCAGCAGACCTCTCCTGACTCGCCCGCTGCTCCCCTCAGCAGTGTACTTTGGTCAATCTGCCTGTTCTATTCTCCACTCTGTCTCTGGTGAATCCTCTCACCCCCCACACCTCTGGCCTGTACCCCAGCTCTTGTAAGCATAAATATATAAATCTTTAAAAAAAAAAAAAAAGAGAGAGAGAGACATTGGCATTCCTAAGGATGACAGAAAGGGTGGGCAGTCAGAATGCAGTCTCTCCTAAGGTTGCAAAGGCTCAAGCAAGGAATTGGAAGAAGTGTTTTTAAAAAGTCACTGGAGGTTTAAGGGATAAAGTTGTATAGAAAATCAAGCTAGTGAATTTAGAAAAGTTGTATTATAGGGAAACCCTGATAGAGAAATGCTGGGGCACCTCTTGCCTGCCCCAGAGGCACTGGCATCATCTCAGCTTCTGTGCCCAAGAAGCCGCTGCTGGCATTGATGGCTGCTGCACCTCAGCCACCCCAGGCAGCTTCCCCAAGAGCACCTTTGAAGCCATCTCCCAGCCTTCAGCTGTCACACCCTGACCTCTGTATCGGGTCTCCCTGTCAGCATATGACCAGCTTGAAAAGACCCACACCAGAAACCCAGGTTTCCGCTGGGGCCGTCCAGGAGCTTAAAATTAATGAAAGTAAATTAAACCTGTAAAAAATGTATACAGGAGAACCAAAGGTGGACTGGTACATGATAGGCACTGGCTAAACATTTGCTCAAGAAATAGGTAGAACAAACCATGATGCTTCTTTTGACTTCATTTTTGACTGGCTTTTTTTTTTTTTTTTTTTTTTTTTTTTCTTTTTCTAGATATTTCTTCTTGCAGGTCGGAAGCGGAAAAAGAGCAAAACATCCAACTACCTTATCTCCACAGACCCAACAGACTTGTCTCGTGAAGGAGAAAGTTATATTGGCAAACTCAGGTGAGCACAGCCTTGTATTGCTGCCCTTTTTTTTCTGAAATTTTTATTCCTGTAGTTTTAGAACAGTTCCTATCTTTTTTACACTGAGCATGTAAAAAAAAAAAAAAGAAAATCTAAGGCTCTTCCTTGTTTTAATGAGAGGTCTTCAAGAAGGTGATGATGGGGGCCTCCCTGGTGGTGCAAGGGGTTAAAACACCACTACAGCACGAGTTCGATCCCCCACCAGGGAGGTGACCCACATGGCGCAGCAGACCTCTCCTGTCTCGCCCGCTGCTCCCCTCAGCAGTGTATTTCAGTATATTTGCCTATTCTGTTCCCTACTCTTTCTCTGGTGAATCCTCTCACCCCCCACATCTCTGGCCTGCACCCCAGCTCCTGTATGCATAAATAAATAAATCTTTAAAAAAAAAACAAGAAAGGATGATGAACGTTGGAGACTGGGCAGATAGGCTTGATCCTGTTACTACGTCTCCCACATCCTTTGTGTAAGAGGAAAATACGGATGATCGTGATCACTTTTTCTCCTGTTCCAGATCCAACCTCATGGGGACCAAGTTTACAGTTTATGACCATGGTGTCAGCCCAACAAAGGCCCAAGGTTTGGTGGAGAAGGCCTACACCCGACAGGAGCTGGCTGCCATCTGCTACGTAAGTCTGTCCCCAGAGCTGCTCCTCGCCGGTCTCCAAGATATCCTGCGGCTCTTCAGACGCCACGGGACTGATGCTGAAGTGTAGACTCCCTCCCACCTAGCTTCTACTTTGTTATCTCCTTTTCTGTTGCTGGTATCGTTTTCTCTATGTATCAGATTTTAATTATTTGTGAATTGCCAACTTTAGTTATTTTCCACTTTTAAAACCTTTCTGGCCTCATCTGCTGTTCTCTCTTCCTAATGCCAGACCTCATTACCTCTTCCTTGGCTAGAGGTTACAATAAACTAGAAACTGATCTCTTTGCTTTTTCTATCCAGTTCATTCTCTCTTGCTACCAGGTAAATCTCCCCCAACCTGAGCTCCAGTTGATTGTGTCTTGGCTTCAGATCTTGTCATGATTACCTGCAGCATGCGGCGTACAGCCCTGAGACTTTGCCACTTCCTTTCAGACTCCTGTTCCCATCATTCTGGCCTCACGGCCCCCTGTAATTCCTTTGCTGTACCCTAAAAACCTTCCTTTCTTCTTCCTTGCCCTTTGCCTAATCAGCACCCAAGATGTTATCAGAGAAGTTTTCTGACCACTGGGCGTGGTACCCTCTGTACGTGTCCTGTGATGCCTGCGCCTCCTGTTATTACCTGTTCAACAGTGTTTAAACTGTTTTTCTGGTTTTGCAAACATTTTTTAATGACAACAGGTGGTCAATTTATACAAATTACAGACTAGGATATAACGAGCACAAAATCTACCCACATAATGGTTAGAAAAGTGTGACTTGGAACAGTAAATCTGATTCAAATGGCTAAAGGATTGAGTGTGCAAAACTCTTAATCTTAGCCACAACCACAATGACACAGGCCCAGTGCACAGTAGGCGTGCGGAGTTGAATGCAAGAAAGAAGACGGAATTAACCTGACTCACCTGTTGCTTTGATCCAAGAGTCTCATCTCTTCAGTGGGGATTCATTTCATGATTTGATTTTATCTCTGTGACTGACAACTACTTAACCCTTTATAACATATAGTATTTTCTCTCTCAGCTTCAACATCAATTAGATGTTAATGCTGCATGATTTTCATGTATGTACATGTATGCATATGAACATGTATACAGACATCTATATCCACCTATTTAATGTACTTATTCACATATAATCTACCTGACTTGATAGGCATTTGAGTTTTTTATCTCCTGGTACAGACCTATTTAATTTAAATTGTAATTCTCTGGTATACCACATAGTGTTGTGCCCTCATTGGGAAATCACTATTTATTATTGATGATCAAATTAGAGTTTGCTCACAGTTGTCTCAGATTTCACTTAAGACTAAAAAATAGGGCCTTCCTGGTGGCGCAGGCAGTTGAGCGCAGCGCTGTGAAGCTGTCTGCAGCCTCTGCAGCGCCAGTTCAATCCTGGAGGGCCGGCGAGGGTCCCACATGGCGAAGCAGACCTCTCCTGCTGCACCCGCTCTCCCCTCAGCAGTGTATCAGTCAGTCCACCTCTTCTGCTTCCCCGCTTTGTCTCTGGTGAATCCTCTTACCCTCCCACGTATCTGGCCTATACCTCGGCTCTTGTATAAATAAAAAATAAATCTTTAAAAAAAAAGACTAAAATATGAAGAGGAAAGTTTCAAGCCAACAGAATCTATTTTACATTCAGGTGTTCAAAATAGGTATTAAAAAAGGTGCTGTACTACCTTCCTATCCTGGATTATGTCTCCCTTTGTTTAACTACCGTTAAATCATTAAATAGTTTTCAGTGCTCTTGACATTGTCAACATTTTCCATCCCCAAGAAAGTCTTGTGTTAAGAATGCAGTCTCTTTCCTTTCTATTTTCAAGTTGTATTATTTCCTCATTGTCTAGGAAACCAATGTTCTTGGATTTAAAGGTCCAAGAAAAATGTCTGTGATCATTCCTGGGATGAATATGAGCCATGAACGGATCCCATTTCGTCCACGAAATGTAAGTAAAAAAAATATTTAATCAGCAGTAGACCCTGGGAGACAAGAATACAATTCAGGGGAGGTCAATGCAAAAAAAAAAAAAAAAAAAAAAAAAAATACTGATTCTTCCAGAACCTGAACAATGTAGGTTAAGGCTCACACTTTTATTTAGGAATGCCACCACTCCAGAAGCTAAGGATAAGTTGCCGTGGAAAAGTGGTTGCTAAAGTGGTGAATTTGAAACTACTTGGTTTGCAAAGAGAAGGGCTATATAAAAATCAAACAAATTGGGCCTCCTGCCGCCCGCTGCTCCCCTCAGCAGTGTACTTCGTCACTCTTCCTGTTCTGCTCCCCGCTCTGGCCCTGGTGAATTCTCTCACCCTCCCGTGCCTCTGACTGTATCCAGTGCTTGTATAAATAAATAAATCAATCTTTAAAAAAAAAAAAAAAAGAATCAAATTAACAAAAAAATATTTTTTTTTAAAGATTTATTTATTTTATTTATACAAGCACTGGGTATAGTCAGAAGCGCGGGAGGGTGAGAGAATTCACCAGAGCCAGAGCGGGGAGCAGAACAGGCAGAGTGACGAAGTACACTGCTGAGGGGAGCAGCGGGCGGCAGGAGAGGTCTGCGCGCCATGTGAGACCCTCGCCCGGCGGCCGGGGAACGAACCGGTGCTGCAGAGGCTGCGGGCAGCTTCGCAACCCAGCGCTCAACCACTGCGCCACCGGGGAGGCCCCAGATTAACAAAATTTTTGTTTTGGTTTCGCATTGTCTAGAAAACCAATGTACTTGGATTTAAAGGACCAAGAAAAGTGGCTTAATTTTTGCCTTTGTTTTAATCTTACTCTTTCTGAAATGAGAAAAACAAACAAAAAGCCCCTATTCTTTTTTTTTTTTTTTTTTTTTTAAAGATTTTTTTTTTTATAATAGAGGCATGTTTTTTTATTTATTTATTTGTTTGTTTGTTTTGTTTTGTTTATACAAGCACTGGGTACAGTCAGAAGCGCGGGAGGGTGAGAGAATTCACCAGAGCCAGAGCGGGGAGCAGAGCAGGCAGAAGGACCGAAGTACACTGCTGAGGGGAGCAGCGGGCGGCAGGAGAGGTCTGCGCGCCATGTGGGACCCTCCTCCGGTGGCCGGGGAGCAGCCGGGGATCGAACCGGCGCCACAGAGGCCGCGGGCAGCTTCGCAACCCAGCGCTCTACCGCTGCGCCACCTGGGAGGCCCAAAAGCCCCTATTCTACTTTCTACCTCAGAGTTGAAAATGAATGAGTCTGTACAATGCTCCGCACAAAGTAATGCCTTTTCCTTCACACAGGACCATGAGAGCTTGCTTTCAAAATGGCAAAACAAAACCATGGAGAACTTGATCGAACTGCACAACAAGGCCCCGGTCTGGAATGACGACACCCAGTCTTACGTCCTGAACTTCCACGGCCGCGTCACGCAGGCGTCTGTGAAGAACTTCCAGATTGTCCACGGAAATGACCGTAGGTCCTTGGGAAGGGTCGGGTGGGACCAGGAGGGAAAAGGTTCCCACGTCTGCCCCTCAATGGGGAAAAGAGCATCATGATAGGAAGTTATAGTCAAAAGAGATTCATTTAAAAAATGAAGTAAGAGGATTTCTTTTTTTTTTTTTTTTTTAAGATTTACTTATTTATTTATACAAGCACTGGGTACAGTCAGAAGCGCGGGAGGGTGAGAGAATTCACCAGAGCCAGAGCGGGGAGCAGAGCAGGCAGAGTGACGAAGTACACTGCTGAGGGGAGCAACGGGCGGCAGGAGAGGTCTGCGCGCCATGTGGGACCCTCGCCCGGTGGCCGGGGATCAAACCGGCGCTGCAGAGGCTACTGGCAGCTTCGCAGCCCAGTGCTCAACGGCTGCACCACCAGGGGAGGCTCAAGAGGATTTCTTCAAGGGCCTCCCCGGTGGCGCAGCCGTTGAGCGCTGGGTTGCGGAGCTGCCCGCGGCCTCTGCGGCGCAGGTTCGATCCCCGGCTGCTCCCCGCCCACCGGAGGAGGGTCCCACATGGTGCGCAGACCTCCCCTGCCGCCCGCTGCTCCCCTCAGCAGTGTACTTCGGTCCCTCTGCCTGCTCTGCTCCCCGCTCTGGCTCTGGTGAATTCTCTCACCCTCCCGCGCTTCTCACTGTACCCAGTGCTTGTATAAATAAATAAATAAATCTTAAAAAAAAAATTTACTTATTTAAAAAAAAAAAAAAAAAGAGGATTTCTTCAAAACATCAAGCTACAGTTTCACAGTAAAACTTCTCAACCACCATATTGACGAGGGCAGAAGAGTGAGACTTCCTGTGGCAAATCAGAGGAGTTCAGGGGAGACTGTGGGACGCAGATGCAAATGGGCCTCCCTCACTAAGCTTCCTCACCAGACACCGACTCTTCTCTTTTCTTCCTCTCACCCTACCACGCTCCGTCGGGAGCAGCCCCCCATTCTCTTAGTGGGAGTTAAAGAGACCTGGTGATTAACTGACCTATTTGGAGAATTTTTCTGTATCCTCAACAGGTTCTCCCCCAGTACAACCACACATTATCGTTTTTTTTTTTTTTTTAAGATTTATTTATTTATGCATACAAGAACTGGGGTACAGGCCAGAGGTGTGGGGTGAGAGAACATTCACCAGAGAGAGTAGGGAGCAGAGCAGGCAGATGGACTGAAATACACTGCTGAGGGGAGCAGCAGACAAGGCAGGAGAGGTCTGCAGCACCATGAGGGTCAGCTCCCTGGTCGGGGATCAAACTCATGCTGTAGTGGCTGGTGATAGCTTGTTAGCACTGTCTCGAACCCCTGCGCCACCAGGGAGGCCCCTGGTGGCACCACATTCTCTTCTAACATCCTGATTTCTTTCTATTTCTAGCGGATTATATAGTCATGCAGTTTGGACGTGTGGCAGATGACGTGTTCACACTGGACTACAATTACCCGCTGTGTGCACTTCAGGCCTTTGCCATCGGACTCTCCAGCTTTGACAGCAAGCTAGCGTGTGAATGAGCCAGCTGCGGTGCCTGTCTTCTCCGCGCAGGCCTTTCCAGAGCAGCATGGCCTCCCTCGCTCTTGCCCCAGGACATGAAGAGTGGCAGCCCACCCTGTTCCGTGTAATCCTGGAAAGGAGTGTGTGTATGTGTGTACACACGTGTTTGTGTGTGCATACATGCATACGCACACACGTACACACTCCTCTCTGGGTTTCACAGCTTAATGTGGGTGAGATGGTCAAGGCAGAGACACTTGTCCAGAGCACACTGGTAACGTCCTCACATTAATTGCCCCACAGATTCCCTGCCCCAAGGTCAGATTTCCTCTGCTTGGAAACTTGCAGCTAGAATCAGGTTTTAACAATTAAATATTCGGATCATTTTTTGAAGACCTTTTCAGAGAGGTTCTCTAAATTGCCCCTAGTCTCTAGGTTTGCAAACTTCTGTAAAGGACAGATGGTCTCTCTCATGGTAACTTGGCTCTGCCAATGTAGCATGAAAGCGGCCATAGACACATGAGTGCGGCTGTGCCCCTGGAAACTTCATTGATGAAACCAGGAGGCAGGCCTGATGGGCCTGTGGGCCAGAGTATACCCGCTCCAGGTTCATCTCCAAAGATGCTTGACATCTCCCCAAGAGGGTCTGTGGGTGTGAGACCACACTGGTGGGAAGTGGACTATGATGATATTTCGAGTATCTTCTACTGTCACAGCCAGGAGAACCCAAAGTCAGTGAGCATTCTGAGCCACACAGTTGGCTTCGTTTGTCTTTCTTACTCACTTGCCCATGAAGAGGCAATGCCATCCAGTGCCTAAGAGGAGAACTTAACTCACCAGGAAACAAGCCTGGAGTTGTGTTCTCCAGGTGGTATCTGTTTGAGAACTGACTTGCTTTCCCCACGGGTCTTGGGAGGTACTGATGTCACAGCCCCGTCTCCCCCCCCACCCCACCCCAGTAGGTTGCCTGGCACTAATCTCACAGTGCCTGTGGCCAAATTTGTGATCCGTCACTTAAGGATTTTATATTGATAATTGTCTTAATTTCAGAGAAGGCTGGAAAGCATAAATTCTCTAGGCACCTTAGTCTAGTGAAGACAGTAATTTGACACTTGCCTTCATTTTCAACCCAGGAGTGCCTCCCACACTGTAACCATGGAGCCATTAGTATAGCGGGACACACACCTGTAGTGTGTGTGCGAGTGAGAACATCATATGTCAACACTGTCATTGTCATCAATACTGGTGGTGGGAGAGCTTTGGTGCAGACCAGTGGGCACTTGAGCTCTGCCAACCTTGTAGGGCAGTGCCCTGGCCTTGCTCCTTGACTTACTATTACCAGCTCCCTGAAGCCTGGTGCAGATTATGCTCCTGTCACTTCCTCAGATCATGCGATATTTGCCCCATCCTTCAATTGCTAGCACCTCCCAGCAGAGCCTGTGACTCTACCACCAGTTCATGGTCTCAGAATGTACCTGAATCTTGAGGCTCGAAGAACTTCGTCAGTTCTAGCCTTTGAGCACCGAGCTGTTTGCCAGCATGTGGCAAAAAATTGATGGCTGTTCACCCGTTACATTTCCCTTCAAGGACTTTGTTTTTCGCCCCTGCTTCTGGTTACTTGTTTCACATCAAACAGCAGTGTGAAGGGAAGAGACCCGGAAGAGACAGAGACCCTCTGCTCACCCTCTGGAGTGCCCTCCCTGCTTCCTTTTGATATGATCAGTTTCCATCTCAGGCATGCGCCCCATCAAGTGCCTCATTCATAGAAGTGCCCGCAAGCCTTTCAGGCCTCCAGTGCCACTGTCTGCATGGGCTGTCGAATAAGCTGCCTCATCGAAAACAGAAAGCTGTTCGCTCATCTCCAGCCGCAGTATACGACAGCGTCCGGAGACAGGGATCTGACGGGGCAACTGGATCCTATCCTGCTCCCTCCTGTGCTCTCTGACTTGGAGAGATACAGACCCTAGCTTCATAAACTCTCTGCTTAAGCGTGCAGGTGACTGGTTTTATATAAATCATATTTATACCTTTTGTATGCTACAGAAATAAAAATAATTTATATAAAAAAAATTGAGTTCCTTCTGACATGTTGTGATCATTTTCACCACTTGGAAACAGTGAACTAGTCAATTATTTTAAGCCAAGTAAGTATCACCATCAGCTTTCCTTCTAGGGTAGAGCAGGAGTGCAGGCTGAGAAACCTGTATCCAGACGCTGGCTGGCGCCATGTCTTCTGGACAGATGATGGAGCTAAGAGCTGAGCACAGAGAGTCACAGGGAGTAGGGGGTTCCTTTGTTCTGGACACCTGCACTGCTCAGCCCCTGGGGGTCATCTTGTTGGTTCTGCTTACTGAATCAGCACAAAATGAATTTTTTTTTTTTTTAATAGAGGCATGTTTTCTTTCTTTATTTGTTTGTTTGTTTATACAAGCACTGGGTACAGTCAGAAGCGCGGGAGGGCGAGAGAATTCACCAGAGCCAGAGCGGGGAGCAGAGCAGGCAGAAGGACCGAAGTACACTGCTGAGGGGAGCAGCGGGCAGCAGGAGAGGTCTGCGCACCATGCCAGGAAGCAGCCGGGGATCGAACCGGCGCCGCAGAGGCCGCGGGCAGCTTCGCAACCCAGCGCTCAACCGCTGCGCCACCGGGGAGGCCCAGCACAAAATGAATTCTTTTTTTTTTTTTTTTTTACAAAATGAATTCTTAACACTGAAACTGATTCTACCTCTTGCCTCCAAGTGTCCATGGTCTTTTTTTTTTTTTTTTAAAGATTTATCTTTATTTATTTATACAAGCACTGGGCACAGTCAGAAGCGCGGGAGGGTGAGAGGATTCACCAGAGCCAGAGCGGGGAGCAGAGCAGGCAGAAGGACCGAAGTACACTGCTGAGGGGAGCAGCGGGCGGCAGGAGAGGTCTGCGCGCCATGTGGGACCCTCCTCCGGTGGCCGGGGAGCAGCCGGGGATCAAACCGGCGCTGCAGAGGCTGCGGGCAGCCTCGCAACCCAGCGCTCAACCGCTGCGCCACCGGGGAGGCCCTGTCCACGGTCTTAAAGCTACTTTATACAGACAAATGAAAAATAACTACATGTTCACACATTTTTACTAAGCTTTCCTGCTCTTATCAGTGTTGCAGTGACCAGGAGTTACATGGAAAGAAGCAGGAAGAACCTAAAACTCAAGATGACAGCTGGACTCAGAGTCTAAATCTTACGAGTTTGATTTTTCTTTTTTGTGTAATTCATTTCAGCTTGGGAGCATGGCTGATTAGATTACTTGTGACATACTTGTTCACATAAAAGATACCAGCAGGTGTTACTTAAAATCTAAACCAGGTCTACAAAAGGCTCCTTTTTGATCAGAAGGAGAGTAGATGATAAACAATCTAGCATCAGTTCATTTCCTTACACAGCATTACAGGTGTGGGGTGGGGATGGGGGGAGCAATGGTTCAATAGGCAAAAGCCCTGGGTCCCAGCCCCTTTTCTGCCAGTGATTTGTCACATGCCTCTGCCTTCACTTACAGAGTGAAAGGTTTTGAATTCCATGTCTTCAACTCTTGGATTATATGATTCTTGCCACTCATGGCTGACAGCAGCCCGGAATTCCCCTAAATGTGTTTCATTTGATTTGACAAAACACATTTTGGGCTAATGCCTCCTGGATGAAGTGACAGAGTTCATGAGAAGAGGCGACAGTAGAGATTCTGTGTGTGTCTTGGGCTGGAAGATTCTGGAATAGCAGGGAGCACATGGATGATCTCAGCTGAGAAAGCACAGCCGTGCTGCTTTCCCAGCCCTGGGGGAATCCATTTTGCTCCAGATAAAATCTCGGCCTCTAGCCTCCAGCCCCTCGAGACAGAGGGGCTTCTCCTGCCCATGCACTGCTGCACAGGTTTCTCTCCACTCCCTTCAGGGACCCCAGCCCGGGGCTTGCCAAGCACTAACCCTGTTCTGTCCCACCTCCCCAGACACACCTTTGACAATTTGCTTATCAATTTGTTTTGCATCCTCTCCCCACTTTTGTCTCCTAGTTATCACAGTCATTACTGACACAGACTGTTCCCTTACCCACAAAATCCTAGAAACTCCACAATAAATGAAGGACCGCCCTTCGCGCCCAGTCAGACCCATTGGCAATTAAACCGTAGGTGGTGTCATGGTGCCACCTGCTGACCAGTGATGCACATTACAAGCATCTTAAACCGACTGATTAGCACAGATTTCCTGCTGTGCTTGGAGTCCTCAGGGCCCAGTGACTCAGCAGCTGGACTGTTGTGCTGTGTTCCCTGAGCACCCTGGGCTGCAGCATGCTTCTCTCCTGGAGGTCTGGAGTCTAGAAGCCAGTTGCCTCCCGCCGGGTAAAATGCCTGGGATCTGGCACATACTAAGCACAAGCACTCGGGGTAGGAGAGTGGCAAATATCAATCTATCACTTTCATTAATGTTCTTTAAAAAAGGAACAGTGCAACTCAGTTGACTTTTTTTTTTTAGCCACACAGCTGCAATAAATGTTCTATAAATGCTTATATAGCAATTTTAGGTAGTTTTTCAGGGAAGGAAAAAGACAGTTTAACTGGGTAACCAACCATCCAAGTTCCAGTCTGGGGCCCCTCCTACCTCACATCTCTGACTGTCTACACACATCTCCTCTTCTACTCAGAGTAACAGCCTAGGCAACAACAACAAAAGCCCTGGAGTTCATGGAAATTTTGAAATATTTCTATCAAAATGGCTGCCATGATTTTTTCTGGCTCTGCCTAGCCCTTTACTCCTGCAGGCGTGAGCTCCTGGGCAGATGCCTTCCAGCGTGGCTAGGGTCCAGAACTCTGCACAAGAGAGGAGTGAGCCTTGGAGAGGAAAAAGCTGGAGGGGCCAAAGCAAGAGAGTGGGTGGTTCTGCTGTTAGCACCTTTGCTTACCCACTGTGATTTAACAGAGTATCTCAGGGCTTAGCAGCCAGCAGAGCCCTCTACCCAGAGGCTGCTGCTTATGATTTCCAAGTCTTCCAAGAACAACAACCCACTAGTCTCTTTCTCTTGTAGTCTGGGGGCAGGAAAGTTAGGAAGGAAGCACAGTCTGAGGAAAAAGGAGGGTGACAGGCAGGGGAAGGCTAGAAATGAGATGGAGATTTTAGAAGTTGGCTCTAAATGCAATTTCTAGGGTACAAATGCGTGCGCAGGACCAACAATATCCACGTGAAATAAAAATGCGAGCTTCAAAATATGTCTGGAGGTTGCCTTTGGCCTGTCTTAGGTTGTTCTGTATCAAATACATAGATAAATTTCAAGACTTACTATTTTTCTTTGCTTAAATTTTAAGATTTTAAATGTAAGCTTATAATTACAGACTTCTCCCACATCTCCCTTTATTTCCTTTGTCCCATCCTACTACTCCTATAGTTAAGCCACTTTTCATTTCTTTCCAGTGTTTCTTCACGCAAAGCCAAAACTGTGTCATTTCCCAGCCTTGGTGCACAGAAGAACATCATGTTTTTGCTTTTTATTTTTTTTTTAAGATTTATTTATGCATACAAGAATTGGGGTGTAGTCCAGAGATGTGGGGGGTGAGAGGAGACACCAGAGACAGAGTGGGGAGCAGAACAGGCAGATTGACTGAAACACACTGCTGAGGGGAGCAGCCAGTGGGGAAGGAAAGGTCTGCTGCACCCTGTGTGTTGCTCCTTGGCCGCGAGGGTTCGAACTCCTGCTGCAGTGGCTGGCGATAGCTTGATAGCACTGTCTTTAACCCCTGTGCCACCAGAGAGGCCCACGAAGAGCATCATATTATACCCGGCTCTGTAGCTTGCTCCTTCACTTACTATACCCTGGAGATGTTCTCCTGTCCCCACAGGCCCCTCTCACGAGCATTTTACTGTGGGGGTGCTGTGGGGTTCCTAGCTGGTGCCCCATACTCAACCCTTTACATGCTAAGAAATTCTATCAATGTATTTGAAGTATGTAGCATTTCAGGGACGCATTATTCATTTTAATCCTCTTCTCACGCTCATACTCAGTAACCCCACACCTCCATCTTTATGCTGCTTGTCTCTCGCTCTCCTGACCTTCATCCCCAGCCCTGCAGCGTCACCGAACTGCCTGCGGACAGCCGTCAAACACCACAGCGGTGGCCAGGAGCTATTCAGATCTAAATTAAATAAATGAAGTTCAGATCTCGTGAACATTCAGGATAGCTGCGTCTCAGGCCCTCTCTAGCCACCTGGGTGAGCGAACACCACATTGGACAGTGTAGCGAAAGAACATTTCATCACGGCTGAAAATTCTGTTGGAGAATTTTGATCTACAGAAACCTCAACTTCAGGTTTTTGAAACTTAATTATCTTTGGAACAACGTTTAGCAGTTGTTTCTTGTCTAGCTTCCCTATCAGACCATTACTTGAAGGACAGGGATTGTGACCTTTGTCTCCAGCGCTGACCTACCACAGAGTCAAAGACATGCATGTTCAATAAATGGGGAATGGAAAAAGTAAGAGCTGAGGAAACTGAGCCTCAGAGGAGCATCTAAGGTCATAATTAGTACATGGCCCGGTTGTTATTTGAACCTGTTATAGGACAGGGAGAGGGGCAGCCCAAGCCCCGCAAACCTGCCTATTCTAAATGGGTTCTGCCATCCGCCGCATCAACACAAAACATAGGAGACTTTAATGGGAAGGAACTTTAATTAAACTAGGAAACAATACAGGTAAGGCAAAGAGTCTAGTTTCTAAATGAAGCACCCAAAGTTATCCATCCCCTCGTGGGTAAAAGTCCATTCATATGGGAATGGCCCAGAACAAGGCCCCAAAGCCTGCTACAAGTCTAAAGCATCTTCCAGTTGAGACCCACAGAAAAGGGTCACAAACAAGCAGACAAGCCCGGAAGGAAAAGAGCAAAATCAACATCAAGATAAAAGCTGCCATGGTCACCTCCCCACGGGTCTCACCCACATCTGTGTCACCCAGTCCACGACCAAAAGACAAGCACAGTTTCTTCACGTGTCTCTAGGCTCCATGCGCCGACTCCAGGTCTCCTGGCTCCATCCTGCTCCTTCCTCCTTCTCTTCTGCAGCTTCTCCTCTTCCTGCTCAGCTCCACCCTCCCTTGGGTGGGGCAGGGAACCTCCCCCTTTCCTGGGACCACCCTGTTACAAACCCACACTAACTTCCTAGTAAGATCATAATACATGGCTGCTGTTAACTTTCATTTTCAGGATATTGTATCAGTTACAGAAAATGAAAATGTTATCTGAATAAGGTTGAGAGAGCCTTTCCTTCCTTTTGATTTTTTTTCCCTAGAAGATCCTGGATATGTGATCCTAAAGACCCCTCGGAACTCTGGAGAAACACTTGCTTGAGGATTATGTAGAGAAAGCTCCAGAAACCCAGTGTTTTGTTTCAGTCTAGGAACACATTAACTTTCAAAGGCTGTCTTAAGGTACTACAGACAGGGTGGCTTAGAAAGAAACTTTCTCGGGGTCTCCCTGGGTGGCGCAAGGGGTTAAGCACCGCACTATGAAGCAATTCACAGCCTCTGCAGCACTAGTTCGATCCCCGGTGGCCAGGGAGTAACCCACATGGTGCAGCAGACCTCTCCTGACTGTCCCGCTGCTCCCCTCAGCAGTGTATTTCACAATCTGCCTGTTCTGCTCCCCGCTCTGTCTCTGGTGAATCCTTTCACCCTCCCGCATATTTGGCCTGTGCCCTGGTGAGAGAGAGAAAGAGAGAGAGAGAGAGAGAGAGAGAGAGAGAGAGAGAAAGAATTTAAACTTTCTCACAGCTCTGGAGGCCAGAAGTCCAAGGTCAAGGTGCTAGCAGGGTTGGTTTCTTCTCTGCTGGGCTTGGAGATGCAGTCTTCTCCCTGCATCTTGACATGTCCTGCTGTGTGTGGTCTGTGCCCTAACCTCTCCCTTTTATCAGAACACCAGTCAGATTGGATTAGAGCCCACCCCAAAAACCTTGTTTTAATTGAAAGACATCTTTAAAGCCCTTATCTCCAAATCCACTCTCCTTCTGAGGTACTGAAGATTAGGACTTCAATACATGCTTGGGTGAGGGGCACATAATTCAGCCCTGTCATCTACTGTTCCCTAGACTGTCCACCTAGAATCTATTCTCTGTCACATAGACTGTTTTTCTTCTTTTTTTTAAAGATTTATTTTTATTTATTTATACAAGCACTGGGTACAGTCAGAAGCGCGGGAGGGTGAGAGAATTCACCAGAGCCAGAGCGGGGAGCAGAGCAGGCAGAAGGACCGAAGTACACTGCTGAGGGGAGCAGCGGGCGGCAGGAGAGGTCTGCGCGCCATGTGGGACCCTCCTCCGGTGGCCGGGGAGCAGCCGGGGATCGAACCGGCGCTGCAGAGGCTGCGGGCAGCTTCGCAACCCAGCGCTCAACCGCTGCGCCACCGGGGAGGCCCTGTTTTTCTTCTTTAGAGGAGAAAAGACTGCAAACAACTTTAATAAAGTTCTGTTTAGTCACTCAAAACACAAGATGCAGTTCAGTAGGTGTGGAGTGAAAAGTCTTTTTTTTTTTTTTAAAGATTTATTTATTTATGCATACAAGAGCTGGGGTATAGGCCAGAGGTGAGGGGGGTGGGGGGGTGGGGGTGGAGGCATGAAGGGATTCACCAGAGACAGGGTAGGGAGCAGAACAGGCAGATCTACTGAAATACACTGCTGAGGGGAGCAGCGGGCGAGACAGGGGTCACCTCCCTGGCCAGCCAAGGAATTGAACTCAAATTTGTGCTGCAGTGGCTGATGATAGCTTGATAGCGCTATCTTTAATCCCTGCCACTAGGGAGGCCCTGGAGTGAAACATCTGTAAGGAAGAAAGCGATAGGAATAAAGATAGGGCGGCTACAAAAAAAAAATAACTTCAATTTCAGTTGCCATAACCACGCTGAAAGTCAACACAGGATAGTTTTAAAGGTGGGGCAGGGGCCTGCTTTGGAAAAATCTTTTAAGTATGGGTTAGGAGGCCTTCTTTCCTTGACTCTGCCCACCTTACCTTCTTATTAGACTGTTAAATCTAATTGTGAATGATCCTTTCTTCAAAGTTGTGGAGAATTTAGGTATGCGTTTTAAGTATCTTGTTCTAGTCACATTCCCTCCCATTAGAAAAGAAGTACAAGTTTTTGTTATAGAAAATAAAGAACTCCTTTTAATCTTAACCTGTCAGAGATAAACACTCTAAAATACTTGTCTATTTATTTTTCAAAACCCAGTATTCTATAGATTCTGTTTTTAGCATCTGCTTTTCCAATGATTACATCATGAACATTTGGTTGATTAAAAAACATCTTATTAACAGCTACAAAGAATGCGATCACATAGATGTGGCTGAATTTAACACAGCATCATATGGATAATTTGTTTAACTGACCACATGCATTGGAAAAACAAAATGCATTAGAGAAATAGAAATAACACCAAGCAACATATTATAAAAGTAATTAATGTGATTTTTTTTACTTTGATTTCTGGACTATGGTCAACACAAGTATCATCCCCACATCAAAACCTGCTCTGACCCCACCCCACCTCCTTTTTCTGCACCCCTCATTATCCAGCTTGACTGAGGGAAGTTCCATTTCAGGACAGGTGGGTTCCAGGATCTGGGATCCTCTGGATTACTAGGAAGTGAGTTATGGATTATAGATCTAATCTGAGGAGAGCCACATGTACCTCTTCCAGCTTGATCCAGACAGCTGAAATATTTCCAGCAAAGTCATTCCTCAGAGTCCATGAATGAGTCTTGTTCCTTAAGAAATGGACATACCCCTGGTCAGGGCAGGACATGGGTTTAAAAATCACTGTCAGTCTTTATTAACCTTGCAGAGTTTTCTCTGGCCACGTGTTTTCCTTTCCCCAGAGGGATGCAGACAGCTTGGGAGTGTGAGATTGCTGAAGGCACAGAGTTCTCTGGAAGCCTAAGAGGCTGAAGACCTGAGACTTACCATTCCAGCCTCGGTCGCTCATGGTCCTGGGGAGTTAACAGAGTTGGAGGGAACAAGCCAGTGTGATCTTCAAATTTCCTCTGCCCTCTATGTTCAAAGATTGCTCTGGACTCCTGGCCTGCCTTCCTCCCAAGCCTCTGAACCTGGCTGCCCTCACCTTTCATCTCAGCCCACTTCTCCTTCCCTTTGAATTCTTATCTTGGTTAATGGTACCATCCATTGTTCAGCTGTCAAAGTTTAGAGGGAAGTTTTGTTTCCTCTCTCCTCTCACAGCCAAACTAGTCACCTATTCATGTTGATTTTGCCTTTTTGTCTGTTTCTCAAACCCTTTCGCTGCTCCTAAACCCCAGGACCACTGCTAAAGTTTAGGGGGCCCTGTATTTCCAATCCAATCCCAACAGAGGGGACATTCTAATGGTGGCATTGTCACACCTGTGTCTTTTGAATACCCAAACTCTTCAGCATGACATACAATTGATCATCACAGCCTGGCACCCACTTGCTAGAATCTTTTCTCTGTCTTCTGTTCAGCCATGCCAGCTTACAAGGTATTTCTCAAACATCCCTTCTGTGTAGACCACCACACTTTTGCGGGTTGTCCAGTCTCTGGCAGATTCTTCTACAGCAAGATAAAAGTTACCACTGTATCTTGGCTTTCACAGTCCCTTCCCTTGGGTTCCCACTGAATTCTGTACAATTGTCTGTCTTCCCACTTGGAGTCTCAGCTTCTCCAGGCCAGCGGCCTCTCTCTGGGCGGACAGAGCATGGTGCTCCAAGTCAACAGACACTCAAAAACATACTTGTTACGTAAAGCAGCCAGTGCTCACAATTCCTCCTTCACCTGGTGCCTGCCGATTGCCCTGTGCCGCAGTGTTCTCATGCGTGTAAGGTGTGACCAAGCCCTGGTGTGACTCACTATTTAACAAGCATACCAGAATTTATATATCCAAATGAGAGCTGCGTCCTTCAAAGTCTTCATCCAACGAGATTGAGTACTTGGTCCGGTGATGCCGTCACTGCCCCAAAACACTTTGGGAACTCTTCTGGAAACGACTTGGGTGTTATAGCATTTTCTTGTCAATATCCTCCATGGTAACCTCTTCCCTCATTGCTTTAACATTTCCTATGCCCTGAGCTGGCGCTGGGTGGTAAGCAGATAAGTCAGACATTTATTCTGTCCTCAAGGAAGTTTCTGTTTGGTGAGGGAGATAAGATCTGGACAACCCCTGCAAACAGGGTTCAGTGCTTGGGGTTGATTTTCGGAAAAAGCCACAAGTCCTTTGGTTTCAGCCTCCCAAACAAGGGGGAACCTCCAGCTTTAGGCCAACGCGTCCGGGAGCCTTCCAAAGAGGATCGCGAGGACCTCTCTCCTCAGGGAGACACTAAATACATTGGGCACGTTGGTTTGGATCTGAGACTCCCACTTTACGGCAGGATTCTTCGATCCAGTAAGCCATCAGCTGTTTCAGGGTGGATACTGCGCTCTCCTACCCTCCATGCCTGCTTTCACCGCATCTGGTGGACACATAATCCACGTTGGCTAAGTACTCCTCGAGCTCCTCGCGCCCAAAAGGTGTCTCCTACGTGACCACTTTGCGCGCCCTTCCCCCCACTCGCTGGATCCCGGTGGCGACGGCTGTTCAGGCCGCCGGGGACGCAAGGGAAGGACTGGACAGGCCGCTGCCGGGGAGGGCAGGTGCGGGGGCACGGGCGGCGGATCTGGGAACGGAGCCCGCGAGTTCCTGCTTCCTGGTGAGCAAGTGTCCTCCGGCGGGGCCGGGGGAGGGAGCCCCCCTTCCTGCGGCCGCGCGCCCGCCCCTCGCCTGCCCCTCGGGGACCCGCGCGGGGGGACGCTGGAGACGCCCAGGAGGCAGGGCGCACCCCAGGGCGCCCCCGCCTCCACGAGCTCCAGCGAAGGAGCCTCCGAGACTCGCCAGGAAGGGAAGGAACAGGGGGGCCCGGGACGAGGACGGCTCGGCGCCCGGAGATCAAAGAGAAAGTGCGCGCGCGGGGGAGCGGCCGAGGCCGGATCCAGAAACCGAGGTCAAAGTTGAAGGGTCCCGGCGGCCCCCCTCCCCCGGCGGGCTCCCCTCCCCGGCCCCGCCCCGCCCCCGCCCGCGGCGCAATCTCCACCCCGAGGGGCCGGTGGCGGGGCCGCCACTCCCTCGCGGTCCCTCCCTCAGCTGCGCGCATCCCATACCAGCCCTCATTCCGCGCATTCCAGGCTCGCTCCTTTCAAACTCCAGGCCGGGGGGTGGGAGGGCCCGCAGCTCCCGGCTCCCCGCCCGCGGCCGCGTGCCCCGCAGGTGAGTGGCGCCCGCCCCCGCGCGCCCCGCGCGCCCCGCCCGCCCCGCGCGCCCCTCGGCCGCGTGCGCTGCTCGCTCTTTTCTTTGCTCCGCGCCCCTTTCCCGCCCTGGACCTCCCCGCCCGGGCTCGCTGCGCCCTCCTGCCCTTTCTTCCCCTCGCCCTCCGCGCGCTCCGCCCGATCGCGCCCCGGACCGTCCCCCGCGCCCGCTCCCCGCGCGCGACCCGCGGCCCCCGGGCTGCCTTCCTCTTGCGCGTTGACTCACTCCGCCAGGAATAGGGATCTCCGGTGTTTTCCCGTCAGTCCCATTCTGGGAAAACTCCTCCCTCCGCGCGCTCCGCTCCGCGCCCCGCGGCCGGCCGGCGGCGACTGGGTTCGGCGCGCGCGGGGTCGGCTCGGTCCCGCGGCCCCGCCCTCCCCAGCCCAGCTGATCGGTCCCGAGCCCGCGCCCCCGCGCCTGACCCGGGTCCTGTAGTCCTGCAGCGCCGGCCTCCCGGGACCTCGGCGGAGCCGCGGCTGGAAGGTTGCGCTCGCGGTGCGCCCCGTGGAACTGGCGTAGCGCGCCCGCCCCGCCTCCCCGCACCCTGGGACCGGTAAGCCGGCGGGAGGCTGGGGGGCTCGTGGGAATTTTCGCGGGGGCCGGCATCTGGGGAGGTGGACGGGGTTGGGGGAGCCGGCACGTGGGGGCGGCGGGTGAGGACCGTGCGGAGGCGCGGGCGCAGGGACCGGGCTGGGGGAACGGGTGTCCCGGCGCGCAGCGCAGCGCCCGTGCCTCCGAACAGCGGGGCGCTTTCAGACTTGGGGGAGACAGCCCTGGAAGTCGCTTTGCCGCAGTGGAGGGGACCTCTACGAAAGGTCCCAGCTCTCCGGGGCATGAGAAGCCAGTTGTGTACCATCCTGGGATCTGGAGGGTCCGGGGAGCAGAACCCCCACAGCGCACCCTTTCCTAGCTGGTGCACTTGTGTGAAGGAGGGTTCAGATCAGGAGGAACGGGAACCTCCGATGAGCTAGCGTGGCCTGCCGACTGCCCTGTCTTTGTAGCTTTGCGGGTAGGTGAGGGTGATAGCAGGTCGCATGTGACTCGCCCTGGCTTTCGGGAGGCCGTGTTTGTGTTGGACGTGAGTGTATTTCCACCGGGAAGAGCACAGTCCGTGTGAAACCCCACTATCTCCGCTGAGTACTGAGTACTCCGTGCCTGGCCACGGCTCTTCAGTGTGCGTTTCTCGGTGAGGATGTTGGTTCCAGGCACGCTGTTCTTCCCCGGGTTGTTTGTGTTCAGGGATCATTTGAGGTGGTTGGAGTGTGTGGCCCCCAGGCTCCATTCCCTCCGGCCTGGGCAGAGCTGGAGGGAAGCTGTCTGTACCTGCCTCTTGCGGACAGCTGTCTTTCTGCCGGAGAGGGGCTTCTGTTGTTGCCGGCAACAGTTTAGGGAACAGCCTGGTTGAAGGGAAGGTGAGGTCCTTGACTTTTGTTGGTGGAGCAGATTGTGGAGACCCCCAGAAAGAGGAGACCATTTTGAATCTTGAGATTTGTATAGACTGCTCTTAAAATTGGCCTCAAGGACAAAACGGAATTGCTGGATACCGGAAGGCACGCCTTCCTGTGGGTCTAGAATCAAGTGGTACAATCCTTCGTTTTTCACCACTTGTTGCACCACTTGACACTTTGCTGTGGCCAGGGGGCCGTGGCCAAGGGACTGGGGTGGGGTGCTGTTGGCATCAATCCCAGCAGGGTGAGGCTGCCTCTGGTTTGACAGGTGACCTGTGAGAAGACCCTTTGTCTCTGTTACCCCATTTCTTCCTTTCTTCTTTGCTTTCTATTTTTTTCCATCTGGGGTTTTGCCATTGGAAACATGAATGGCAGAGAGCAAGGCACACTGTCCAGGAGACTGGCGGAAGTGACCTGGTATGTGATGGTGATGATGGGGGTGCACCCAGGCACCCCTGGCCCCACTTCTTTCTTCATCCCCGCAAGATGCTGTAGGCATGATATTTAGGACATTTGGAAAGGAAGGAACAAGTGGCTCTCTCGGTGCTGTTCCCCCATTCACCCCAAGGATGCGGATGTCCTGGTGGGGGCATCCTCACTTGCACCTGTGCAGACCAAGTATGTGCCTGGGGCATCCAGGGTGTCCACGTCCTAAGGCAGCAGTGACGGAGCTGAGAGGGTTCATGCTTGGGGTTAGAAATATCTGGGTACAAATCCTGACAGTCACTCACTACTTTTAAGCTCTCAAGCTCAGCTCCCTGGTGAGTAATAGAGGAGGGGGGCTAATTAATATCTGTCTAGTTGGTTGTGAAAATTCAGTGATTGCAGAGAGCCTGGCATAGTGTGTGGTACATCCCGGAGACGCAAAAGCCAGCTTGCTAAGCTTCTTTCAGCTCGGAACCTCTTTTCCCAGGGACCTCTCTGCACCGCTGTGTTCATTTACGAACAGCTCTGCTGTGTTCATTTATGCTTATTTTGCAAACATGAATTGAGCACTTACAGTAGGCCCTGCATGAAGTTCTTCATGTTTAGGAACCAGGATAGCTAGAGACCCAGGTGGAGGTAGGGCTAGGGTTTTATCACAGTGTCTCCTAACACCTGTGTTCTAATTTCACTTCTGCTTTGACCCCAGGGTAAACCGTGTGGACACTCTAAATGCTAGCATCTGATTCCCTCGTTTTATTTATTTATTTATTTTTAATTATTATTTTTAAGATTTATTTTATTTATGCATACAAGAGCTGGGATGTAGGCCAGAGGTGGGGGGCCGGGTAAGAGGATTCACCAGAGACAGAGCGGGGAGCAGAAAAGGCGGGTTGACTGAAATACACTGCTGAGGGGAGCAGCAGGTGAGACAGGAGAGGTCTGCTGCGCCATGTGGGTCAGCTCCCTGGCCAGGGATCGAACTCGTGCTGCAGTGGCTGCTGATAGTGGCCGCCTATAGCTTCACAGTGCTGAGACTTAACTCCTTGCACCACCAGGGAGGCCCCTGATACCCTCATTTTAAAGATGGGGAGCCTGAGGCCCCAGAGGATAGTAAGGTCAACCAGTGAGTAGCAGAACTGGGCCAGAATCCCATTTTCACTTAGCAATCTGTCTCCTGCTCAAGGATCCCAGTGCCCAGACTCCCAAGCCACCTTCATCTAGCAGGCGTGTATCTGGAACAGTGTGCCTTGGGCCGTGTCTTCCATCTTGTGGCTCAGATAAAGTGGTTCGGAGGCAGAAATACTCCCCTCCATCCCAGTGGAATGCACAGAACTATAGCATCCAAGGATGCCTGTTATGGAAGGGTCCTTCTGGAGGTCTTTAAAATGATGCCTCCTCAACCTCTATATGTTACTCTGCCAGGTAGAGGTGGGTCTCCTGTCTTTCCAGATCTCCTGGGATACACATAATGTCATAGCCTCCTTTGGCTTCCGTGCTGGAGTCACAGGGTAATACCTGTGCTGGTCACAGGGCAATACCTGTGACTGGCCTGTGGCTCCTCCCCTCCCTCCGGTGGAAGCCTGAGGATTCTGGTCATCAGCTTTGCTCAGTTGAGGTCAGCCCTGGGGCAGTGGGGGAATAATGCAGGACTTATGAGGGTGGCTTACCTTGCCTGTCTTCTTTTGCCCCTCATGACCCTTTGTTGGCAGACTTGGGACAACAGCTCCCTTTAAAGCTCTGAAATTGGAGCTGAACAGCTGTTTTCCAGCCTTCCCCCTCTGGAGGGGGGTAACCGACTTAGGGGCCCAGGTGGAATTGGGGGCAGGGCTTAATACTGGGGTACAGTCTCCAACTCTTGTGTTGTAATTCCAGTGTTGCCTAGACCCCTCTGGAATGACAGTTCTTCCCTGGCTTTTGCTGTGTCAGTTTAGCTGTCCTCTAGATAACTGCACGTCTCCTGTGTGATCCGGCCTGGAGTTTTCTGCTGGTAGTGACTGGATCTTTGGGAATATTTTCACTGGAACTGCTGTCCCTAAGATCCCTGCCCACATCCTCCGGCCTTTATACTGGCAGGCTCCCTGGCAGCGGTGAGGGTAGGCGGGCCCCCATGGGTGGGGACTTGCTTCCTTTGACCCAAACTTCATGGGAACAATAGACTTCAGAGGAGTCACCAGGGGCAGGAAATGGGAGCTGTGCTAAGGCAGGGGTGACCCTCCTGGGGGATGGGATCGCATATCCGGCCTGAAGGAAACGCAGGGTATTGGGGGCAGTGCAAAGGGCACTGGGGAGGGGCTGATGACACACAGGGTGGGCCTCTCCTCCGAGGGGGCTGTTGACTCAGTGAAACCTGAGCTGCTTAGGGCCCTTTGTTTGGCTGCTGTGCTGGTTTGTGTCTTGCTTGCAAAGGTGTTGTGGTCTTTGCCAGCCTCCACTCAACCCAACTCAGTCTTGCCAAAACCAGGTCTTCCCCTCCCCTTCAACCCCCTGAGATGTCTGTGTGAATCCTCCCGGCTGGGATAAAAGGCTCGTTTTTGATTCTTCTTGGCTGACCTCCATTCTGGCATGGAGCCTTGAGCAATAGCTGACTGGGGAGGTGATCTCTGGCGGAGCTCTGGGTGGGGAGTCCATAGACCCAGGTCAGCTGGGTAACAAGGAGGGATTTTTTTTTTTAGCCACTGTCAGAGCAAGAAGACAACCAGGACAGGCAGAGGGAGAGTCCTGCTTGAAGCAGGTGGTGGAATGCTCTGGAAGGCAGAACACTCTTATCTCGCCTTCATCTTTGTCTGGATAGAACAGACTTTGTGAAGTGCTGAGGGTTAGGGCTCACTGAGCTGCTCTTGTGAGTTCAGGTCGCCAGATTCTTACCTATTGATCAGGTTTTGAGAGACAGACGGCAGTGGGTGACGTGGGTGACCACAGAACACTGCAGGGCTGGGGAGGAGCCCTGAAGAATGGGAGAAGGGAAGGGTGGCTAAATAACAAATACAGTCTTGATTTGTTTCTTCAGGGGCCTGAGATTTCCAGGGGCTCCTGGAAAGGACAGGCTGGTAAACGTCTTACTGATCCCTTGCCAAAATCCAGGTCAGA